TTTTTTTTTTTTTTAAAAAAGAAACCCAGACACAACAGAGCGTGGCGAAACGCCACGCCTTTAGTCCCAGCGCTCGGGAGGCAGAGACAGGCTAATCTCTGCGTTCAAGGACAGCCAGGGCTACGCAGAGAAACCCTGTCTCGGAAAAGAAAACCAAAAAAGAAAAACTCCACCCGTCTCAGCTGGATCAGAGGCCTCACGACTGTGAGCAACGGAGAGCGAAGCGGAGATGTGGAGGAGGAAAGAGATTGGGGACGGACACCCCAGGGGGCCCACGAGGGCGGCGGGGAGCGGCGCGGACGCGGAGGGGTCTAGCTGCGAGGCCGCGCCCGCTGGGCCCTCCCCACACGGCCCGGCCAGGGCCGCGCAGCAGAGAGGCGCGGGCGCGGCGCGGCGCGGCGCGGCGCGGCAGGCTCTTTATTGGGCTCAGGGCGCGTCCAGTAGTAACAGCTTGTGCATGTACGAGTCCAGCCAGCGGCGGCGCTCCAGGGCGGCCAGCAGGCGCGCGCGCTCCCGAAACGCCGCGTCGTCCGCCAGCGCCAGGCTGCGCCGAGACAGGGGAGTACCCAAGTTCGCCCAGGCGCGGCTCGGGGCGCGGAGGCTGCGGGAGGAGAGGTGCGGTGACCGCGCGCCGGGTCCCCACGGGTCCCCACTGCAGACTGACGCCAAGCGCCCCTGCCCCTCCCCGCCGGCATCTCGCCTTCCCTCGGGGCGTCTCCTCCCTTCCCTGGGTATCCGGGACCTCACACCTACCTCACACCAGCGAAGGGCAGTGCAACACCGGAAGCAGGGCCAGGGCCCCAGGGCACAAGCAGTAGCAGCAGCAAAAGCAGCAGCAGCCGCTCTCGGGGGCTCCTGGACACCTGGCAGGTCTCCATCACCTGTGGACACAGGGAACAGGATCTGGATGTCACCATCCCGCCCAGAAGCCGGGCGCCCACCATCCAACCCCCCAGAGCCTCCTGCGGGCCCCCCTACCGTGCACTGGGCGCTGGCAGCGAGGCTCACGCCCCTCCTTATATACCCGCACAGCCCCCGCGGCAGCAGTGACGCAGGCCGGGCTGGGGGCGCGGGGTCACTCCACCCCACGCTCATTAGGAGCCGCCAGCGGTAATGAGAAGCCTGGTGGGGCCCTGTGCTGCCGTGGCCGCCACCAACTAATTGGGACCCGGAGCTGGTACTGAAGAAGGGGGGGTGCAGACAGAGAGGTGGACATAAGGGGTGTGTCAGAGGGATAAAAATAGAGACTGCAGAGGGGGACCATCAGAACACAAGTCGGGGACACAGAGAGGCAGGAAAGAGCAGAGAGATCCAAGAGGAGGAAGAGACGGGGGAAGGAAGGACAAAGACTAGGTGCCTTGGAAGGGATAACATGAAGGAAGAAAGACTGAGGGCTCTGGAAATGAGAGGACAGGCAGGCCCAGCAGAGAGGCAGGGATGGAGAGAGAAGAGGCAGCCGCGTGCAAACAGGTGAAGTCACCACCGTGAAGTGGGACACAGGAGGCCCTGGGCTTCGGCAGGGATGTCTTTCCCCTCACCACAAGGGACACTGGGGCATGGGGAAGTAGGGTCCAGTCCTCCACAGCCGCACGTTGAAGGGACTCCCAGGGCCACCAGGGTGCGGCAGGCCTGCCATCCCAGGACTGCAAACGTGAGGCTGTCTCAAAGAGGAGGGAGGAGTAAAGAGGGACCCCTCCTCCCACATCCTGGGCAAAGAGGACAGGGGCCTGGACTCCTACCTCCACAGAGAGGAGGGGACCAAATTTGGAATCCCAAACCTAAAGGTGGTCAAGACAGAACCCCAGACTCCTGGGTTCTGGCAAGGGGGACACCTGGATTCCTCAGTCTGAAGGGAACTGAGTGGCCTAGTGGGGTTAAAGTAGAAAGTACCAGGGACTTAGATCCTTGGATTTGGTGGGGGAACGGGAGAAGTCCTAGGCCTCATCATTTTGTCTTTTGACACAGGGTTTCTCCGTGTAGCCCTGGCTGTCCTGGAACTCGCTCTGTAGACCAGGCTGGCCTTGAACCTGCCCCTGCCTCCCAAGTGCTGGATTAAAGGTGTGCCCACCGCTGCAGAGATGGGACCAGAGAGACAGAGGCAGAGAGACTGTCTTGTGTCTGTTGGGTTGGTAGTTTGGGTGAGTGGTTTTTTTTTTTTGTGTGTGTGTGTTTGATTGGGTTTTATTTTTGTTTTAGAGTCGCTGTAGCCCAGGCTGGCCTGGGTCTCACTATGTCTGTCACCCAAGCTGGCTTTAAACTCATACCCCTTCTACCTTATCATCCCAAAAGCCTGTGCCATCTTACCTGGCCAAACCTTGGCTTCAAATAGAACATAGCTTGGTTAAATCCTAACTTCCTACTCTGCCACAGAGATGATATCCTATGTCTCTGTTTCTTTAAGAACATCAGCCTGTTGCTAGGCTCTCAGAGTTCCCCAGGGAGGGGTCAGGTGCGTCACCCATCACCTGTGTGCCTCAGGAAGCCTCCTGCCTGCCCCTTCCAGCACCATTCAACAACAGTCCCTGCCTGTCTCTTTGTCCAGCGCTGATCATCTGCTGTTGTCTTGAACACCACTGAACAGGTAAGAGACCCCATGACCCCAAGTGACCCTGTTCCACCCAAGCTCACTCCTCCATCTCCAACCCACCACAGAAGTTACCGGGTCCCTAGCTCCACCCTCTGTAGACAGGGGCTGCGCTTACTACCCTGTGTCCACCCGCATCAGCCGAGGAGTCTACACCTGACATCCCTACATATGTCTTGAAGACCTGGAACTCTGAGATCCAGACACCATCTAACCCACGGTCCACTGACCCTGTGTCCTTTCCCCCTGTAGACCCTAAGCCCCCTTCTAGGCCCTAATATTCAAAAATCTCTTAAATTCCTAATTTCTGGCAAGAACCAGAGACACGGACCCTTTGCTGTCCACCCTGAGACTCAGAGCCCAAGCTTCCTTCCAGGACCACAGAGTCTGCTTCCTCCCCCTGACTCAGCCTGGTCCCAGCTCTTCATTTGCACCCTCCTCTAGTGTTAAAGCCTGCGTAGTCCTGGCCTCTTAAGAGCCCTGGGGGAAGGTTGTCCCAAACCCCCTTGGCCATTTGACATCTTCTGAAGGTAAAGCTTCAGAAGATGTTTGTGGGACCTTGGAAAGGTGTCATTATATGCCAATTTTTCAGGGAACCTACTGGGAAATGTGCTACCACTCCCAAGAATCCCTAACTCCCGTTTCCTTGGTGACCAGTTACCACCCCACAGCCTCCAGGGAGTTGCAAGTGGCTTTTGCCAGGGTCCCTAGACAGACCTGGTCCTCTGGGAGCCGGTGGGTGGTGGGTGTGGCCTCTGGGTGGGGGCAGTGACAGATTTGGCTTAACGGTTCCTCCCAACTCCTTCCACAGCTACAAGCATCTCTGAACCATGAAGCCCTTCAGCCCCTTCTTCTTCCTCCTCCTCCTTTTCCTCCTCGGTGGTCTGGGTTCCAGGGCAGCTCCCTCAGCCTCTCTGCCTGTGGGCTCCCACCTCCAGGGGACAGCCCAGCCCTCTGGGATGCCCACTGGTGCTGTAGAAAATTCTACTAGATTGGAGCCTACCCCAGGGTACCCTGCACCCACCCCCCTGGAGCCATCCGAGACCCCACCCTCAGATTCCCCTCACATCTCCATACAGAACCCAAGTAAGACCCCCAGGCTCAACCTCTCATATTCTCCAGAGACTCCCAAGCCTGACCAGCTCACAGCCGCAGGAACAGAATCCCAGGATGCTTCACAAATGAGCCCCTCCAAAGCAACACTCCCGAAATCCTCTGAGACCCCCAAACCTGACCTGACTAGAATTTCCCAGTCTGGAGCTCCCGAAACCTCTCAACCTAATCCTTCTAACTCTTCTCTCCCAGACTCTCCTGAGCCTGTACACACTGACCCTACACCAACTATACACTATGAATCCCCTGAACTCCCCAAAGGTGACACCCCCAAACCCTCACCCAGTGAAGGGCCTAAGATACCAAGTCCTAGCCCCACCCAACTCCTCAGCTCCAAACCCCTAGAGACCTATGATCCTGGTACCACCAGAAAACTAAATTCTGTATCACTACCAACCAGCCACCCTGACCCCACAGAAACTCCACAGTCAGCATTTCTCATTGCCCACAACTCCAACCCCACTGACATCCCCCAAACACAACTCCCCATGACCCCCAACCAAAATGCAACAGAGAGGGCTATGACTTCTGACTTGGAAATCCCCGCTAGTCTCCCCACCCAACCAACAACAACCTTGAGAGAGGCCGCCTCCACTCCTGCTGAGCCAGGCTTGAGCCCCAGCCCAGAAGCCCCTGCAGCCACCCAAGCTGCCACCGCTGGCCTGTCCACCTCAGGTTTCCTTGGGACCAAAGACTTGAATGTACCCCAGAACTCAGGCCCTAACGGGTCAGATATCCCTCCTCCCTCAGCACGGATTGCGGGGCCCCCTGCTCCTCCAGAGCACCCCAATCAGATAGCCCCTGCCGTGCCTCAGGCCCCTCAGAGACACAGCCGAGGAGAGACAGTCAATACTATCATCGTGGTGGAACGAGTGAAGGAGACTGGTGAGGGCCTGGCTGTGGATCTCAAAGAGGAGGCTGGGTGTGAGGGAGGAGGGCTGGGGGTGAGGGAGGAGGCCTTCTGCTCAGATGGCTGTCTTGTCCCCTTAGGGGTAGCTCTGGTCAGCCGCCCAAGAGGCTCCACCGGTGGGGCTCTGTGCCTGTTCTTCGCGGGGACAGGGATGCTGATTGGCATCTTCCTCCTGATGTGGTGCCTGTACCGCCGGGCCTCCAGACACAGGTCCTTCGCACACCACCGGCTCCGGGACAGAGGAGATGAACCAGGTGAGTGCTTGCTCACCCTAGAAAGACCCTACCCAGCCTTACAGGGGACTTTGGAGGTAAGTGTAAGGCTTGACTCCACCATGGTCTGGGCCCAGGCCCCTGGATCTGAAATTCTCCCACCCCCGCCCCTCCCCGTCCCCTGCAGTCTCACTTCCCCCCCTCTGAGAGAGGATCTATGTATCCCAGATTCCCAACACACACAGGCGCGCGTGCACGCGCACACACACACACACACACACACACACACACACCTGCCTGCACACAGGCATGCTCTCTCTCTGTCTCTCCGTGCCTGTCTGTCTGTCTCTTTCGCCCTCTCCCAGCTGCCCAGAAACTTGCTCAGCTCCCGCATGCCCTGCCTGGTTCTGCACCACGCCCCAAATCCTGAAGCTCAACCCGCCCAGCCAGCCCCTCTCTCTCGGACCCTGGCCAGCGGCCTGACCCCGCCCTCACCCTTGCAGTCTCGCACCTGGATGCCCCGAAGGAGCCGCTGGATCTCTATTTCTACGCCCCCGATGCGTGGGTGCCCTCGCACATCGCCACGCAGCAGCCGCCTTCCACGCCCCCATTGCCGCCCAAGCTGCCCCCTCCGCCCCGCGGGCCGCAGCGCCTGGAAGCCCTGTCGCCCGCCGCGCTGTCCCCCAACTTCGTCTGACCCAGCTTCACCGCCTAGAGGGACCCCAGAGGTCCGCAGGGTTTCCCAATAAACGGGCAGGAACACGAGTCTACACTGAGTGCTGGCGGAGGTGCCGGGGGATGTGGGAGCCGAGGCGGCGGCAAGGGGAAACCCTAGCCTGGGGGGGAGGGTTGGGGGGAGGGCGGGCGGGGGAGGGCTGGAGGAGAGCGAGAGGGGGAGGGCGGGAGGGCTGGAGGAGGGTGGAAGGGAGGAGGAGGGCGGGGGGAGGGCTGGAGGAGGGGAGGAGGAGGGAGGGCTGGAGGGTTGGAGGAGGATGGAGGGGAGGAGGAGGGCGGGGGAGGGCTGGGGGCCTTTCTCGGCTCCCGAGACCCACAGCAGGTGACAACGCAATCTGTACACCAAAGCATTTATTGGGAGTG